ATATGAATCTATCCTGTAGCAGGAGGGTTGCTGGTTTGATCCCCCATTCCAGCGTCTTAGGCCATGTTCCCACTGTGGGCAAATGCAACCTAAATCCAATTATTTTGCCACATTTGATTCACATCTGCTTTTTTATGACAGTCTGAATGTGACAAATCCAATTTTTTAAAATCTGACCCAGGCCATTTCAGTATGTGATACTGAATCGGCTACAAATCTGATGTTTTCCAAAGTGACTGCCGTCTGAACAGTCATTTCACATTACATCCAATTTTTCATCAGTGAGGTGGGGGTGAAGGATCAATAAAAACATTAGCCTCCAGTCATGTTGTTTATTTCTCTAGCTCCACATGTCTCCAGCCACAAAACAGAAGTCCATTTGCTTTATCTTTGTTCTTTTCATTTTCTATGGCCTGGTTGACCAGGAATCGGCAGAAACATGATAGTAAGGTCCAAATTTGGTCACGAACCATATCGATCCTAAAGTTTGATACTTTACTTCAAGCACACGGTCAAAAGAAACCTACTGATCTAAGCTTTTTCAACAGTCACCAACATACAGCGAGCTGAATGTGACATCATGTCTTTTCTGCACATGCATGTCACATCAGTGTCATGGAGCATACTGATAGAGGTTGCATTTAAAATGTAAAGTGAACATTCACACCAAAAAATCAGATTTTTTCAAAAAAATCAGCATTGAGTATTAGGACTAGTGAATGTACTGAAAGAAATTAGACCCTTAGATGTGTCCATGGGCAAGACACTTCACCCGCTTTGGTGGTCAGAGGGTTCGATGGCACTGGTGCATGGCAGCCCTGCCTCTGTCAGTGTGTCCCAGGGCACATAAATGACTGTAGTGTAAAGTGCTTTGGGGTCTGATGAGGCTTGATAAAGCATGATATCAATTCAGTCCATTTACCATTTACTATATACAGTACCTCTGGTTTGCTGTATCATTTCCAGTGAAACCTGAACCCTTCCAAAGGGGGAAATCTTTCTGTTGGAATAACCATGTAGTGTGAAAATAAAAAGCTTATAGGAATAAGATTGTTTGCATAATATTCCCTGAAAGTTTTGAAATAACGAGCATTTTAAGATGGCAGGAAGATAAAATAAAACTTTGGCATAAAAAATCAGCAGGTGACATTTGTTCCTTCATGGAATTCCAAGCATTGGATTGATGCAAAAAATGTTCAGGATGAATTATTTGTTAACATTTAGTTGCTGATTGATGACAGTGTAATGTCTCCTCTTTACGTGTCCCATTTACAATGTGGGCTTTCATTGATCTTCATTGGAAGTGGTTTGATGAGCCCTGCAGCCATTTGGACTGAGAGTCCTGATGGAGTCTAGTATTGATGGTACACCAAGGTCAACCCTTTTAATCTGCATGGACAAAAAGGGAAATGACCCCAAAACCTGCATCATTGTAGACTTATTAGACAAATTTTATAATAATGCAGGAATTAACCCTGACTGAAACACCCAGGATGATACAGAATCTTCAAGTTCCATGATACAGAAACCAAGTGTTTTGGGTCAAATCTGTATATCTCATCAGTGTTTGCTTAAGTGTTTACTTCAAAATCAACCTTAATGCTTCTCCTAAATAGGATTCCTCTTTAAGTCTTATAGTGTCAAAACACATTTCCACAGCACGCTGATGCAAAGCAGCTTAATCTAGTCTTTCATCAGAATGATCATCTGTAGAGCTGTTAATGGCTCTTCCAAACTCCTTCTAATTCAAAGTGTGGTGACCACGCTGCTGCAAAAACACTGTGCTACCCAAACTTTAGAGTTCAATGGAAGAATGAATTTAATATTTCATTTCCATTAATATTTCATCTGGCTTTTCCCTTAACTTTACTGCCTGTTTCTTTCCTCTACAGTCTTTTCATCCCTTTCACTGTGAGTGCCTTTAGATGTCCCTGGATGTGCTTTTGTGCTTTTGCCTGTTGATAGTCAAACGTGTGAATATCTTTTTAGCACCGAGTGTGGTGTGTATCTGTGAGGCAGACCCTCTTTGGCTCGAGTCAGTCTGACGAAGGAGACGTACACGTGCAAGCCAGCAGCTATGTCTCATTACAAACATCCACCCTTTGCATGCCAGCCATCAGCAGGCATTCGTGCAACTGCAGGATGGACGCCAGCAGGGCCAGAGTGTCCAGCTCCCAGACTTTTTATCTCCGCTCTGCAGCAGGTACCACACAGCCATTTGGTGCCTC